ATTTAAGATTATTTAAAAGAATAAAATGTTAAAAATTCAATTAAAATTTTAACAATATGACAAATTGTGAAAGTTTTATTTGAAGAATGTTCAATGAAGTTTAATTCAATCTTTCTAAAAAATTTTCTGTTTTTTAGTGTCAGATGTCAAAACCACGGATGAGCAAATGGTTGTTGAATTGTTCAGTGTTATTTGAGATCTCGAAATGAAAGAAATTCAGGCAGGAATGCAACTTGCATTCATAATCATCCTGTCATACTCGCAAAAAATATGTTAAGCGAATTGATTAAATCTTTTGTTTCAAGGATTTTTAATTCAAGATTAATAAATATTACGAACTTCAATAAATGTGAGCATTAATCGGTAATGCTTGCAACTCATTAAAAACAATTATTTGATATTTGTTTATTCAATGATGTCAATCTTAATTGACTTTTATTAATTGTTATTTTCTTTCTATTGCAGATGATATCAACTTTGTGAATATCATTGATTACACATCAAATTCTTACAAATCCCAGGTATGTAAATTTTCTTGTTTATTTACTCGTTCAAATCATAATTTCATTTTAATTTTTTTAGAAACCGACAACATCTCGAAGAGCTGAAGATGAAATAAGAAGCCTTAAAAGACAACTTGCAAGGATTCAAGACGGTAACAACTTAATTAAGCAATCGCATCAAACAATTCTTATAAAAATATTATTCCAGAATTTAGAAGAATAAAAAGCCCTTCTGGAACATTTAACAGAGGTTTGACAATTTCTAAGATGAAAATTCCCAGAGACATTTCTTTTGTTCCACCACCAATCAACGATGTCAAAGATTTGGATCGTTTCGAAGAACAACTTAAGAAATACAACAAAAATCCATCACTTGTTGATAGAGAATTTACTATTTTGAGAGAGAAATTGGTGAGAATTTTTTAATTAATTATCGAATCAGACGACATAATTTCAGATGTTTCAGGTTAATTACTATTCTAAGAAAATTTACAATCAAGAAGTAAGAACGTCACCGAAGAATGCGCTTGCAGCATCTTTCATGAAAATGTATTTCGCTGACGAATTTCAAAATAGAATTGGTTGGACAGAATACGAAAGTAATTTAGAAATAATAATTTTGACAACAGTTTAACATTTTTAAGTAATTTCAGATCGCGTTCCATTAAAGAAATACAGCGGTCACATTATGTTTGTCTTTGATATTGTAAACAAACGTAGACCCGAAACTTATGCAACTTATGAAGACGCAGCTGCAGCCATTTACAACTATCAACGAAGATACCATGAAAGCATAAATGCTTTAAAACGTGTTAAAAAAACTGACGCACTTTAAAGCAAAACATTTCGAATGTTTTTTTCAGAAATTCTCTAAAAATCGTAATATAAATTAATGTTTTAATAATTACCTAAATAATGGAATTAGAATAAATCAATGCACAACTTTTGAGAAG